AGAGCATATATTTGACGATATCGAACTATAAAAGGGAGGATTTGCTGCCAATATTGAACATCAGCAAGCAATCCAAATTTTCATCGTGCGTTCGCGCGCAATAGATCTTAATCGTGTCGTCATATGATGGTCAATCATCAAATCCATGATTGTAGCCAACAAGATTGCCAAAAGGTTAGCCACAAGCGCACCAGAACACAAAAAATATACCGTCGTCCATTGTTTTCGTCGGTAGCTACGTATACATATCAATTTTGCCTGTATAACGGCTGAAACGCGTTGTTGATGCTTGTGACGATGATTTGTGATGATGACACGTCATCACGATCAGAGACTTCAACCATAGTCAGAGACTTCAACTGCCCCTAACCAGTATCGGGATGGACCGAAGTGTATTGTTTGCAGATCCAAAATAACAGTAATTCTATTGCTTTTATACGTATAGAGCGGCAGTGTTGAATCTACGGCTATGGGTAGACTTTTCCGTGGTTGAACACGTCATGCAAAAAAATCGCGCATACAGTCAAACTTCACACCACTCTTGCTGTATCACTCTTCTTCGTTATCCTCCTCCGAGTAATACGTCTCTGTTGACGACGTATCACTCGAGATTTCAATCTGATTGTCCTCATCGCCTTGCTCGATTTCGTCTTGTTCGATCTGTAACTGCGTGGGCAGCATCTGCGACGCTGACAGCAGTGGTGACGAAACGAAACCAAAGAGTTCCGAAACGCCTACAAAGTTAGCCATATTCGACAGTAAACAGCTCTATATACACTCACCACGTCGACCAACTTCAACTGGCGTACCACGGATCTCTTGCTCGATGGATTGACGTGGCACTAGGGCGTCGATATGTCGGGATGACCCCAACTCGCCTGAAACTAGCGCCGCAGAGTTTTCAACTGGCGCCGCCGCCGTCCCTCCTGGCAATCCAGCGTATATTCTTGTATAAACATCTCCTTCTGACTCTCGATGGTTTGAATGAAGTTCAGAGTGAGATACCACGTCGGAGAGGGCGTCAGACTGCCCTCCGTAGTAGGCGCTGTTGTCTATGAAGGATTTGATCGAGTTCCTGACATCTTCGGTAAGATCTTGAGTAAAACCCTGTTCAGTAAACCAAATATCTGGTAACTTGCGAATTGCCCGCAAGCTACTGTCTACTGATCGCAGTTTCTGTAGCTTCTTTCTGAACCCTTCGTCGACGTTATATCGCTTGCCGCGGACGGATATAAACCACTTGATGAAGCTGGCCACTTGATCTAGAGCTTTTCGAGGCGAATCCGGTACCACTGGCGAGGACGAACGAATCGGGAGTGCGATACTTGGTTGACGAGTGCTTGGAAGGTTCAATGGCGGAAGAGTTGGCAACGAATACTGTGAGATGTTCGCATATGGCCAATATGCCGGCGGCGGCGGCGCCGGCGGCGGCAGCTGTACGTATGGGTTAGGATATTGAAGATGACGATCTGGCGCCCCCGCGTTGCCGTATATATTGACGATGGCGTTGCTGTTGGCGTTGGTTAGGCCAGATCTTGACCCTGATGATGGAAGTGCGGCATTTTCAGCCTTCTCTTCCGTCATCACTGTCGTCTCCTGGTTATCATCAACCTCCACGATATTCTTACTTCTCTTGCCCTGGCGTTTCTGATCCTCTATAAACTGGTCGTGAAGAATCTCACCAAGCAGTTCTTTAGGTGGTTCCATATTGTCAACGCCAGCCTGTCCAGTCATAATAGCCTTCGCCCACTTCTCTATATGGTGAGATTTGATCTTGTAGTGCTTCTGGCCTAGTATATAGCACCAGTTGAACTTCTCGTCGCCCGAACTATTCTTACATCTCTGGTACTCTGGGCAGATGTGCGTACGGAGAAGTTGTCTGTGCATACCCTCCTTCCGACGCTCGACGTTTGCAGGATCGTTAGCCTCACGATCGATCGCCTCTTGCATGCCGGCTGAAACGCCTGCTCGGCCACCTTTTCGAGGCGTTCGTACGCCAGTCACTATACCACCAGAGATTGGTACGGCGCTGTATTGCCACTTGACGGTGAGGTGGACTTCACCCCTCTCTTCAGCTTGTTCAAGAGAGGGGACAATATCAACCCATGGAATACTTGGCCAAGTGACCCCTCCAGTAGACGGATAGACCCGAGTGAAGATTGGTGTTGGTTTAGATGCGTTGGTGGGCTTCCTCCAAGCAACGACAACAGCGATATTGGCCTTCTTCACAATATACGAGTGAGCCACTTCTGCCTCAAGTTGGGCGCCGCTGTCTGCCTCCCAGTCTCTACTATTCGCATCTAATACAGGAGCAATACTGAATCTGTTATACGCGATGCTCTCGATGGTTAGATCGAGAACAGGTAAACCGTTACCCTTGAGCGCTGGGCCACGGGTAACCTGGATTTGTAGCAGAGTTGGTTCCTCGTTACCCATATCGTCCTCCTCTTCAAATACATCGTGGAACGACATAAACGTATCATCAGCGCTATGGCGAGGGGCCGTAGGCGTATCGTCCGCAAATCGAGTGGTTTGACGAGGGGTTGGGTTAACTGGGGTCGAGTCTGGTCGAAACGGTGGCATCGACGAAGGCAGAGTACTTCGGAGCCGGATCGTATGCGGCGGATCCTTCTTTCGCTTCCTCTGCGTTGTCGTTGCTTTTTGGCGAGAGGACGCTTTTGGAGCTCTTCGTGATGACGGAGGGGCTATAAGTACACGCTTTCTTCGCGATGTAGACTCAGCCGCCACCAAATCATTAGTCTCGGGTCCAGCCTCGGCGACGATAACCTCCTCGGCGGCCTCCTCGGCGGCCTCTTCGGCGGCGGCAGCCCGGCGAGCCCTCTCGGCGGGCGTAACGATCCTGATCGACGGCGAGGCAGAGCGTTGAGGAGGATCTCTGGCGGCGTCCTGTGCCAGTTGTTGTATACGTCGTTGTTTCCGCGTACCGTTGGCGATGGGTGACGGACGATGCCCAGAAGGGTCATCATCCGCCTGCCGAGCCGCGCGGCGGCGTTTAGGAGGCATCACGATGCCCTCAGATAATGAGATTCAATAGAAATAGATCAATTGAAGCCATCAGAATAGGTCAATTGCCGTACTACGAATATCTACGTGGCGTTGGGCAAATTTTCATGTATATACAGGGATTATGCGTGCGTAATTTCGGCAAAAAGGGGGGGCGGACGCTGTCAACGCAACGGAGTGTACTGTTGTTAGTGGAAAACAACTTGGAAGCGAGATGAGACGACAAGACAGATGCACTTCCTAGCGTCTTCTCAGAGAAACATTAGCAGCAAAGCCGCCCAAGACAGAGACCGCCGCTAGAGTGACAGCCGTCGGTCGTTGGCTCTGAGGCCACATGGAAAGACGGCCCGGTTGGAGAAGACGTTTGCTCCTCTCATTTGGATTCCCTGCCATCTCTTTTGGGTTTGGTGGCCTCTTTCTCCAGATCTCCTCCAGCTTTTCTCTCCCCCATCTCACCTCTCCCCAACCAACCCAAACGCCGCTACGCCCGCCGTGTGCCTTGATGCGACTGGCTCGTGTTTTCGGCTTTGGACTTCGAGATCCCGGGCAAGCGCTTTCACGGAGCCAGATGATGATTCGATTCCCACAAATGTTCCTGATGTGCTGAAAGAAGCTATTGCCAACAGCAAAAATATCTCCGAACAGCTGAGTCGCGGCGCATCGCGGTCACGCATGGAATCGCAATACCCCCCGGACATGTGCTATTGCCATTGACAACGCAACCCAGCCGACTCGAGGCAAGACGGGCAGCATCTCCACACGCCCACACACTCCCCCAGATTCAGCAAAACCTTCTTTTGGGCGCTTCTCCAGCGCGTCTCCATCAGGCTGGTGCGAGAAACGGAGAGCAGCACAGCATCTGTAAACACCCCAGTCTTTGCGGAGCACTTCGACCCGCTGATCCGGGGAGGACTCAAAGGCCGCAACCATGTTTCTCTGTCAATCTGCCCAACGCCATTGACAGTTCAGTCAACAGCGTTGGCGTTTTTCGCCAAATACAGGTGTACCATGTCGACTTGGCTTGCCGGCCCGCGTCGTCTCTTCGTCTTGCGTTGACAGATTAGCTGGACATTGACCCATTAACGCCCCTGGCACAACGGCACAGCAGTGGATGAGCCAGCCAGCAAGCCGTCGAGGAGTTGGGGATTCGGGGTTGCGTCCACGCTAATTCAAGCGCGCAGCACACACAACCTAGTTCCCCAGGTGTCCCTCATGGTTTCTAGATGAGCTGCCTCGATGCCCACTCAATCTAATTCACATTGATTGCGACGCAGCCATCAAAGCCATCAACGAGGGACTCTCGGTACCTGCCAAGCAGTGTCACGCTCCAAGACAGCCACACCTAAATTCTTGAAGAAAGTCTGTGATTCTAGTCGTAGGCGAGAACCGGCAACACCGTACACATAACCGGTTGTCTACTACGCCCATCTGTCGGATGCTGATGGACTGGGCCCAGTGGCAATCAGCACCGCACATTGCAGAGAGTAGGGGGGGGGGCGTACCAACATGGGGTGTGAGCAGTTCGAGGGTGGTGCAACCAACGATCTGCTGCCCAGCCAGTACAAGCAAAGTCCAAGGATTGCAGGCCTGCCGCCCTTTCGGTCCCATGTGGGAGTGGCCCGTCCTTCCACCTGCCCACCCCCTCCCATGCATGGGAGGGTAGGCTCGAAACGGCCAAGCTAAGGATGGGCAATTGGAAGTTGGGGTTCGTTCTTGCGAGTTACCGCGTCTCTCCATCGGAATCCTACTCCTCATCCCGTCTCCCAGGGACCAAGACGCCGAAAATCATAAAACCTCAGCCTGTCCCGCGATCCCTGGCTGGTTCGTCTTGAGTTTCCCATCCTCACCCTCATCACCCTCTCCACCTCAACATCCAAACCCACAGTCCAGACTGTGGTAGTCGGCAACTGCAGCTCTCCTCAGAGTGCCAATACTTCAACGAGGACGTTCTCGGCGGCTTGCCACCAACAGCCAAGATGGCCGAAAAGGTTGACTCCGTCAACATCTCACCTCACCATGTCGACCATGACTCCGACAAGGCAAGCCATGCTTCTGATGCTGCTGCGGAAACATGGACATATGCTAACGTGCTTGACCTTACAGAAGGAAGTCGAGACCAAGGTGGTCACCGGCTCCGAGGCCTTCAACGAGGCCATGATCAAGGAGCCGCCCAGTGCCTGGACCAAAGCTCAGATTCTGATCTACGCCTTCTCTCTCGTTGGTTTCTTCTGTTCCACCATGAACGGATACGACGGTTCTCTCATCAACAACTTGCTGCAAAACCCCTCCTTTAAGGAGCGCTACGGAGCCGAGAACGACGGTATCTGGGCCGGTATTATCTCTTCCATCTACCAGATCGGTGGTGTCGTCGCTCTTCCCTTCGTTGGTCCGGCCCTTGACACTTGGGGTCGCCGCATCGGTATGCTCATCGGAGCCAGCATCATCATCATCGGAACAGTTATCCAGGCCACCGCCAACGGCACCGGGCAATTCATGGGCGGCCGTTTCCTCCTCGGTTTCGGTGTTTCCATCGCTGCTTCTGCCGGTCCCATGTACGTCGTCGAAATCAACCACCCCGCTTTCCGCGGTGTCGTCGGTGCCATGTACAACACCCTTTGGTTCTCTGGTGCCATTGTTGCCTCCGGCACTGCACGAGGTGCACTTGAAATTCACGGTAAGTTTGACCCCCGTTCACTTTAATACATGCCCTTCCATTTTCTCCTTCCTCTCTCTGCATCTTCTGTCTCCACCTTTGGTTTCCGGTGCGCCGTGAGCCGCGAAGTGGGGCCGTGCACATGAAGCCACCACGATCTCAACTTCACCACAACCTCAAAACATCAACTTCAAACTTCTGTACGCATGCTAATAGACTTCTTTTCCGATTTCCAGGGGACTCAAGTTGGAGATTAATTACTTGGCTTCAGTGTTTGTTCTCGGGTTTAATCGTTCTCTTCTGCATGTGGCTCCCCGAGTCTCCTCGATGGCTGTTCGTCAACAACAAGAAGGACAAAGCTCTTGCTGTGCTCACCAAGTACCACGGCAACGGCAACCCCGACTCTCCTTGGGTTAAGCTGCAACTCCACGAGTATGAGGAGCTCCTCGACATGGATGGTGCCGACAAGCGCTGGTGGGATTACCGTGCTCTCTTCCGCAACCGCGCCTCCGTCTACCGCCTCTGCTGCAACATGTGCGTTTCCATCTTTGGTCAATGGGCTGGTAAGTTATCCCACCAACTCGGAACTAGAATACTGGCTGATTTTTCCCATAGGAAACGCTGTGCTATCTTACTTCCTCGGTTCCGTCCTCGACACCGCTGGCTACACGCACCCCATCCAGCAGGCCAACATCACCCTCATCAACTCATGCCAACAATTTGCCTGCGCCATCTTCGGTGCTCTCTTTGTCGACAAGGTCGGACGTCGCCCGCTCCTTCTCTTCTCTTTCTCCGCCTGCACTGTCGTCTGGCTCGGCATGACCATTGCTTCCGGCATTCTTCACCAATCTGAGACCATCAACGCTGACGGCGACCCCGAGTTCCACAACGCGGCTGCATCGCAAGCCTGCTTGGCCATGATCTTCCTCTTCGGTTCCGTCTACTCCGTCGGTATCACTCCCCTCCAGGCTCTTTACCCCGTCGAGGTTCTTTCCTTCGAGATGCGTGCCAAGGGTATGGCCTTCTCCAACTTGGCTGTCAACGCCGCCGGTCTCCTCAACCAGTTCGCCTGGCCCGTTTCCATGCAGAAGATCGCCTGGAAGACCTACATTATCTTCACAATTTGGGATTTTGTTCAAACCGCCGTGATCTTTCTTTACATTCCCGAGACCAAGGGCCGCACTGTAAGCTTCCCAAACAAATATCTCATTCTCACATCAAAGATACTAATGACGCCGACAGCTTGAGGAACTCGACCACATCTTCGCCGCCAAGAACCCCGTCAAGGAGTCTACCCAGAAGAAGGAGGTTGCCGTCGACCGCTACGGCGACGTCGTCAACGTCCAGAACGTCTAAATCTGAGACGCCTCTTACCACGGTGGTCAAAATGTCTAAGCGAGCGAGCGAGCGAGCGAGTTGTGTTGATGGTTTCTCTTTGCTGTTGGATATCCCTTTAATGTCACAAGGACACGGAGACTTTGAAGACGTGCAGTCTACTTTTGCATGGCTGAGGAGTGTAAGCGCTCGAGACCGTTGCGGCGGCTGTTGGGTGCGGCCCTCTTCAAGCCAACCCCTCTCTACCTATATACCATGCCAATATACCATGCTGTATACCCTGAATCCACACGTTACATTGAATTTGACTATTCTTTCGTTAGCTGAGGACTGGTCGTGCTGACTCTGCGCCTGAAAGAAAATTTCCTTGGCTAGCTGAGGGTTTGTCAGATGCCACGCCACAGGCTTGCAGGTCTTGTTGCCACCTCATAAATCCCACGGCATTTCATAACGCCGCTCTCGGGGCTTGGCTGACTTCGTGTGGGGAAGTTGTTGAAATGAGGCGGGGGGGGGTGCGTCGGGTGTGCGTGTGACCTGAGTAGACGCGGTGGTCAGCTTAAACGGCTACGTTACCTAGTACCGAAAGAGGTCTTGCTATTCGGTCGGGTAGTAAATACCGACCACCATATGGACGACGATGACAAAGATAACCACGAAGACGACAACGACAACGACGAAGACGACGACGACGACGACGACGACGACAATAACGAGGACGAAAGTGAGTACACAGGAGACAAAGTCGCTTTAAGAGTATACGTGTGTGTAGACACTGCCTGGATAGCCAACTGACACTGCTAGGCTAGCAAAACTCTCGAGGAATGCGACTGATGCGTGCTAAAATGCAAGCCAGCGATTCTGAAGTTCCCTGTCTTTCAGATAATGTCTTCATTGTTTTGCCGGTCATCCTCCTTATCTTCACTTTGGGTGTTGCCCTCAAACATCTCCACGGCAGTGTCCTCGTGGTGTTCACTCCCAAAATCAAAGTTAGAATCGTAGCTTCGGAGGCTAGGACTTTCATCAACTTAACATCCAGCGACACGTGTCCGGAATCTGTTGCGAAATAATCATTCCTCGAGAAGTAGCCCTCGCTTCCCACACCCTTGTGAACAGATCGGCGTAATATCAGGTTATTCAGCGCAGATTCGGCCTGCGCCCATTGCTCTGATTCTGGAAATTCGAGCTTTTCAAACCAGACATACAGCCGCCATGGAAGCATTGGCGCGCTTGGATCCACTAAACCTGAGGGGTGGCCTGTCGTTAATTAATATACGAAAACCAACAGTTTCCCAATAGTCCTTCTACGCCAGTCGTGCAGCATTGCCTAGTAGCCTTGCTAACGTTGCCAGAGCTCTGAGCGTGCCCATCGGCGTTCTGGCATCACAAGCGGCGTTGCCCTCCAAGCCGGCCTAGGCCACCTGCAATCCCTCTGGAAGCCCTCTCTGCTCTGAAAGTCTTCTCTGCTATGGAAGTCCTCTCTGCTCTGGAGGTCTTCTGCTTTGGAAATCTACTCTTTTCGAAGGGAGAGAGACCCGGAACGGGCGGGCGTCGATCATGCGGCGGGGCACCGGAGCCCCGGGGGCGGTTCTGATCCTGATCGTAGGGTTGACGTTGTTGGCGGAGGGAGTTGACGGATAGAAGGGTCGGAAATGACGGGGGTTTCCGAGGCAGAGAATAGCAATCGAGGAGTCTAACGACTGCGAAAAGGGTACAGCGTGCTGTGCGGGATAGTCGCTGCCGGGGGCGTAAGTAGGCATTTGACGCAAAGATTGAGGCTGGCAAGCGCAAAGAGAGTATTGAGCAGGGACAGTTGCTGTTGTGAGAGGCTCAGGGCAGGATCCTCGTCGTGAAAGCGTCCTGACGTGGGAATTAGCTGTCTGCATCAAAATCGGAAAGGAGCTGGCTGTTGCCTCGAGTAAGCGGATGGAGATGTCCGCGCGAGCAACGCCTCTCGAGGCCTCGAGGTGACGGAGTGAAGGCATGGGGGTTACGTAGGTTAAAGATTCCGTAACGCCTGTTGGTTTGATGCCAGTGGTAAGGCGTAGGGCGGAAGTCGGGCTTTTTGAAGCAGGGAGGGAGAAGACGAGTTGCGCGGCGCCTCTTGAAGTGAGGGGCTGAAGACGTCGTTGGCGCGAGGCGTTGGGGTTCGATCATTCGAGGCAAATGTTCGGAGGATTGCATGATGGACTGGGTCGGGTTGACGCTTCTTGGGATTCGGGAAAGGCGCGTCCAACTCCCTCAGAGGCGGGTCCGCGAGGGTTGGCCACCCCGTGAGATGCCATCCAGAGGGCGGCAGAGGTGGCTTCACGTAAGCCGAACGTGTGCGTAATTAGTGGTCTGTCACGTTCAGACAGGACTCAACGAGCTCAGACAACGAGAGCAGGAGATTGTGAAGTTGACGAGACTAAATATCCAACTAGCTATGATCTATGAAGGGAATGGCATGTCATTCAGGCTCCTTGCCACAAGGGCGCAATTCCGAGACCTTCTTGAATTCCATCCCAATCGCGTTGCATCGGTAACAAGGTAGCTTTGAAACGCGGCGACGCAGTGGAAATCGCTCTCCTTCGATGAGTTCGCAGACGATGAGCTCGCAAACGATAAGCCCGTAGACAACTTGTTGCATTGCCCGCTCAGTTGCAAGGTCCGGCTGGGTGAGAACACCTAAGCAGCGAGGATGATAGTTCAACGCGGCGACACTGTCGAAATCACTTTCCTTCGATGAGCTCGCAGACAACTTGTTGCAATGCCGCTTGGTGAGAACACTCATCGTTCGGACTCCCTTGGGGTCGAATGCTTGCGCCATGGTGATGAACTCTTGGGTGGCGATGTCGACGTTGCAGGGAACTACAGCGAGGATGATGGTTCTCGGGATTTTCATGCAGCTCTGGAAAGCATGGTCCCCGATACAGCGAGGGTGGTGGTTCTCGTTCATGTAGCTCTGGGCCATGCTTTTGACCAATGTTATGTCCACGTCCGCGGTCCACCCAGATGTCGCCGTTCTGAAGATGCCAGGCACATCGATGAGCGGGTGAGATGGTTGTGTGCCCTCGACTCCGTGGTCCACCCAGATGTCGCCGTTCTGAAGATGCCAGGCACAGAAGATGCCAGGCACATCAATCACGGTGGATTAGATGGTTGTATGTCCTCGACTTTTCGTTCGTGGTCTACCCAGACGTCGCCGTTCTGAAGATGCCAGGCACATCAATCCGTTGAACTCGACCATGCGACTGGTCCTCGTCGAGTGAGCTCAATGATTTGGTAGGGAGGTGTCGTTCCGATAATTGTGGAAAGGTGATGGACCCGAGAAAAATAAGAGTCAGCAACAGCATGTGGTTGGAAATCTCAGTAGTATCGCCTACCTGTCTTTGCACTTGTCCGAGAAGGCTTCAGTATTTCGAGTTGAGCGCCTGCGTACTTGCTGGCTCGCGGTGGATGTCATGATGCGATCGAGTTGCGCTGGTTGTTGTGCCGCTAGATGCGTGCCCGTACTCGTGCTGTTTCGTGATAGGTGCCGTGGGGCGATCGAGCTGCGCTGGATGCATGCTCGTGTTCGAGCTGTCTCGTGATGGATTCCATGATGTGATCGAGCTGTGGTGGTTGTTGTGGTGCTGGATGCGTGCCCGTACTCGTGTGTTTTCGTGGTGGATGCCTTGATGCGATCAAGTCCAGTCGCCTGTTGCCGTCTCCCATGTTTTCCTCCGCCTTGCCTCAGACATGCCCCTTCCCAACATACCCATGCTGCGCCTCAAGGACTTCCAATCAACCCCGTTCCCGCTTCAATCCCTTCCCATTGCTCCCTGTCGCCTTCTCCTACCCATACCCGATCCTTGTGTGTGTCCTTCTCTCCATGGCATCTTCCTCCCTCCCGGACCATCGCGGATCCTACTGTCCTTTGCTTCCTGTCCTTCCTGTTGGATCTTTTGTTTCCTTTCCGCACTCTTCTTCTTTTTTTTGTTTTCCTTTTTTTTTTTTTCCTTCTCTTTCTTCCTTTTTCTTTTTTTTTTTTCCTTTTCTTTTTCTTTTTTTTTCTCTTCTTTTTTTCCCCTTCCTTATCTTTTTCTTCTCTCTTTTTGTTCCCGCGAGTTGTAAGAGCCCAAACGATCCTCTCCAAACAGATCTCGCCATCAATGTCTGCGTAGACATAACTCCAAATGTTGCTCCTTCTTGCCAATGGAGACCTTGCCAAGTCAATCTTCCTCGTCTTCATGCGTAGAGTCAAACTTGAGTCGTATCCGTTGAACAGCAATCCTGTAGCCACATACGTTGGATAAGCCGGGCGATGCGATGTGTCTGTAGTCCTGAGATGTCAGCAATGTTGTTCTGGGAAGAGAAAGGCAACACTCGGCAACTCACTGTATCCCTCTCTTTGCAAGCGTAGTAACCGATGTCTTCCGGCCACCATAGTCAAGTGTGCGGTCCATGGAGCCAATTGGGTGAAAGATCCAAATGCGCTGAGTTTCTGGGTAAACGACGATGAAAGTTGTAGCTCCGTCCACAGCATTGTAATGAAGATGAGCAGGCATGTCTGAGCAGGGTTGCTGTCGACAGACTGTCTCGAGAAGAGGAGATGCGGAGGTAGAGCCGAGCAGAGATGCCGTCGATAGACTGGGAGCCGTGGAGGTAGAGAGACCATGTGTGAGGCGCTCAGCTTGTCGGCTTCTGGGATTCTGGGCTTCTGGGCTTCTGTTGGTCGAGGGGCTTCTGCTGATCGCTCGCTGGGCTTCTGTCGGTCGAATGGCTTCTGTCGGTCGAATGGGTTCTGTCGGTCGAAGGGCTTCTGTCGGTCGGCATCTCCAGCCAAGGTTGAAGGCATCTCCAGCCAGGGCTTGAGGCATCCTTCGTGATGAGAAGGGCAATGACTGGTATTCACCGGCCATTGACGCAGGCATCAGTCAACCATCAGAAGATTGACCAAATGAGCAGCACCCACAATGGTCTCGTGCTCTACTGCGATTGTCGCGCGTGATTGAAAATGACATGCGGATCGAAGGTTTCCTTTCCGTATCTGATTTAGCATTCTTTTGCTGAAAGATCCCAGGTGACACCACGGAGAGGTACAAAGTCCGACTTCGTCACCCATAAGTATAGGTCCAAAATCAAATCAAACAAATACATGATAGCCCGAAGGCAAAACATTAACCTAGGAGGAAAATTCAAGGGTCGAGGATTTTTGATGTTCAGTTGGTTAGACTTTGTGTATATGAGTGAGCATCCACTCTGTCGTCTCTGTCGTCTCTGTCGTCTCTGTCGTCTCTGTCGTCTCTGTCGTCTCTATCATCTCTGTCGTCTCTGTCGTCTCTATTACTCTTCTGGTCCCTTTGTCTACTCCTATTGTTACTGTCGCTATCGTTTTTATTAATGTTGTCGTTTAATGTTATTGATGTCGTCGTCGTCTTCGTCGTCGTCGTCGTCTTCGTCGTCGTCGTCGTCTTCGTCGTCGTCGTCGTCTTCGTCGTCGTCGTCGTCTTCGTCGTCTTCGTCGTCGTCGTCGTCTTCGTCGTCTTTGTCGTCGTCGTCGTCGTCGTCGTCGTCGTCTTTGTCGTCGTCGTCGTCGTCGTCGTCGTCGTCTTCGTCGTCGTCGTTGTTGTCGTCGTTGTCGTCGTCGTTATCATCCTCGTTATCATCCTCGTCGTCGATATCATCCTCGTCGCTTTTATTATCACTAACCCTATGAGTTTCTGTTCCGCTGTCGCCCTTATAGAATCTTTGTGCTGTAATATTTACGACGTTAATAAGCTGAATCTGGATCTGTAGCTACCTTCTTCACCCTTTTCACATTTTTGATATCTTGAATATGGTCTGTATTCTCCGAATCACCTCGTGAGTTGTATCAACACCAAAATAAGCACTGTCGCTGACCAGGAGCCAGTTTTCATCGCAGCAGAGTTACTAAGCGACGTGGTCGTGCTAGTCGGCACACCATCGGGGGTCGTTGCTAACGTCGTCGTGGCAGCAGACTTAGTGGTACGTGTAAACGCCTGGAAACTCTGTTCAGCCGACTTTGTCGGTTCCGATCCATCATCAACCTCAGGATCCTCCCCAGATTCAGAGCTAGATGTAGCTTCTGCCGCTGATCTTGTTTGCGAAGCCCCTTGTATTGATGTTGCGTGAAAGTCTCGACTCCGGTCGGCTCTCTGTCCTCCACCTCTTTGACCACCTCCCCTTTGTCCGTCGTAAGGCCGACCCTGATTGTGAGGTGTATCGATATCAGGTCTGCCTGGTCTTCTCAAGCCACCCAAAGCTCTGCCGAGAATAAGGCCGTCTCTGAGTTTCTCTCTCGATGGCAATGGGCAATTTAGCCGATCGGTGGAGTGGGGGTGACCGTCGATAACTGTGAACAAGCATTGAGGTGATTCCTCGCTTTCTTCGACACCTCTTCTCAATTCTTTGGGCTACAAATCGTATCAGTGCATAATCCTGTTGCAACGTTACGAGAGTACGTACTTGACGCCAATAAGAACACTCGGCTTCACAAGTGAATAGGTGTTTTGGCTCTCTCGAAGATTCTGAATTGATGAACACGCGGGGGTATTCTGACGTGCAACGATGAAGACACTGAACTTGCTCAGGCTTCACGAGATTGCAGCAAAGGCAGCCCAAAAACGCCTCCCGATCTGTTTGTGGACATCGCTGCAACACCGACGAAAGCTCGCAACTCTCCTCGCACTTGGATGTCCCAGCGACAGTCTCCAGAATTTGCTTTGCATCCAACATGCCCGATGCATGATTGCTTTTATCATCCCGCATTCCACAGTCAAGTATTCTGTCGATCGAATTCCGCTGCAGAAGACAGACTGCCAGAGATTCCTTGTCGTTCGCGGCTGCCTCAACGCATGTCTGTCCATAGGTTCGGTTGGCGTAGTCCTTTCGGCCATCGAGGAGATCACATCCACTAGAGAGCTGTAGCAACGTTGAAATGAGAATGAGAGATATTGACATTGTGGTCATGGTCACTGAGTCCTCGAAATTGATTGGGAGTTTCTTGGGCAAACTATTTGATGTTTGCGCGGATCAGATGCAATTGAAGGGTCTTTATCAGTTCAATATCGTTGCCTAAAATCCCAGTGTCCACTAGATCGTCTGCGGCACAGGCGGAGGTCCCCTGTTGATTTCGCGTTTCGCCGTTGGTTCTCTGGAGACGAATGTTGAGCAACCCTAGCTCACTGTTGGCTCGGTTGCATGACCCAGCCACATCAATCCGCACCACTGCCTTTGAGCAGCTCGCACATCACCATACACAACAGCGCCCGTTTGGTTGTCTCGTTTTCATCAATGCCGGTATGTGCATGTATCACTATTAACTAAGTAAGGACAGAAGCCTGACTTTCGATCTGAATGGTGAGTTGCCAGCCGAGCCAAATGTTGATACTGGTCAGCGGCACAGCGACGCCCGATGACAGGGTAAGCTTGCTAGAATACCAGCCTTCAAGTGCCAAAGAAGGCATTGATTGCCGTACAGAAAGCCATCTGGCGGGTACCGACGGCGGGGCTAAGCGCAGCAACGATCCAACAAGGCAGAACTTGAATGCAAAGCAGGCTATGTCACCCCGAATTGGTCTGATTGCCGCCTGTCTAATTCTTGGCAATGCAAAGAAGAGTCAGGCATTTGGAGGGCATTCACGATGCTGACCAGCAGTCTCAGCCTGAATATTGCCCAGGTCTGGGCTTGGGGCTTCATTCCGATACGGAACCGTTCCCGGATCAGTGGGTCTGTTGAACGAATCCCCCCTGTCTGTGTCACCGGCTTCGCTAGAAAACACATATGGAAGACTATTTCTCTTTTATGTCATTGGTCTTTCCTCTTTGATCAACATATACTGGTTTGCGATAACTGCTTGATCGACCTCTAAGTCTATCTAACGACCGGTGTATTATGCATCGGAACATCTCGCCGTCTTTCTCTGCAGGTACTTACAACAGTGAGTGGCCTCCACTCTTTCTATTATTACAGGTGGTACTCTCTGGGGTCGGTGACACGAACACCTCTTCGCTCCCACACACCCTCAATGTTCATGTCTGCTGTTCCCCTGAATAAAAAGTCAGTACACGGTAATAGTTGCCCATGAAATGGTGGTGGCTTACTCTTCTCGCGGCACGACTGCTGGCTCGGTCTGTCCTGCTGCAACATCAGGGTTTCTGAACACGAAGTTCTTTTTCTGTGTCGGGGGAAAGAGGAGGTCTTGGTCAGCGGGACTTCTTTTCAACAGTTACACGGAGGTGTGGTCTTACCAGTCCCAATGACAGATGAATTGCCGGAGGAGTAACTACAATGTGCTCCGTCGGCTCTTGGCCGTTGATCATAGCCAGAATGTTCTGAGCGACCACCTTCGCTTGCCCGGCACCAGGGCGGGCAGCCTTGTGCGCACCAGAGTCGGCAATATCACCAGCAGCAAACATGTGAGAGTATGCCGGGTCTTGGAACTGAAGAGTCGGTCGTACTTTGATGAAGCCGTTTGCCGGGTTCACAAGAGGGGCGTCGCCGGTTTGCTTGAGATCCTGGAGAAATTGGTTGTTGGGTGTTTGCCCTGTTGCGGGGATGATGAGATCCGCTGTGAGCTCGCGACCATCCTGCAGCTTGACTGACTTCTGGGAGGCAAGACCGCCAGGCAGAATCACGGCGCGAGAGCCAGTGATCAACCTTAAATAAAACGTTAATAACTGCTGCGACCGGAAGGGAATGTTTAGGGTATGAGCATACTTAATTCCCAACTCTTCAAATCGAGCCTTGATGATCTCATCCAACTTGGTGTGGTAAAGAGGCATGAGATGCTCTCGTGAATGCACAAGGGTCACCTCCTTTTCGGGGTAGATTTCCTTAAGATCCGTGGCCATCTGGACGCCCACCGCGCCGCCTCCGATGAGAATGACAGAAGATGCCTTCTGAACCGCCTGCTGATGCGCTCTCAAGGTGTCGACCGATGATGGCTTGTCATCACCGGGCATGGTTCCAGGGCTTGGCAATCTGGTGCCTGTTGTGACAACCAAATATTCGAACGGAATCTCTCCTGAACCTTGCCATTCTCTATCCAAAATGACGGAATCGGGGCGGAGAGACTTGGCGCGGGCTTGAATCACCTGATGCCGCGATGGGTCGGATGACTTTGAGAAAGCTGCTGTGTATGGAATGAAGGCTTTATGCTCATGGTCTGGCAGGACTGCGAAACGAGGCTGAATCAAGGGTTAGCCATAAATCTTAACGAAGCAGTGCACAATACTGGCAACTCACGAACGCGAAGAGATGATGAAAGTGACTGTGCGGTTCGACCAGCAAGATCTGCCAGCTACGAGTCAGTCGTCACTCTTTTCAAAGTTGTTCTTCGGGAAGTTCACTCACGCGGTGGGATGCTGGCAGAGCAGCGGCAAGCTCGCCCACAGCGGCCTAATGCACGGCGAGCTGTTAGCATTTGTTATATAGGCAACAGCATAAGTACAAAGAGACACCTACAAGACCGACATATGATCCTCCGAGGACAACAACGTTCTTCAAGGGTTGCAGCATCTTGATTGGTCGGGCAGTAGTTGAGATATCCAAAGTCGAGGGGTAGAAATGTGAGTCTTGGCAGCTGGAACAATTGAGTGTTGAGCTCCAGTTGCAGGACACCTCAGCTTTAACAGATTGTCTTTCACTACGAAATCGGAGCTCGGCTCGTATTACGAGACTTGCGCTGTGGGTCAAGTGCGAGTTGACAGTGTGTCGCAATCGCACTACCGGCGGTGGCTGCCGCACGGATTTATGATTGCAAATCTGATTAGATCTTTCTCAGCTCTTTAGAGACACCTTGCGTTATCCCCCACTTTACCCGACTCACGTTCGGTTTGTTCGGAATTGGTGGCGGAACCAAAGAGTCGGAGCCGACTTGGGCGCCGTCGCCGATGAATAATATGGGGACGTGCTTGAATCAGCGGGGCCGCACCGGCAATGAGTCGCGGCAATTCAGCCATACCGGCTGTCCTCAGCTTGATTCAATGTCGATACACGATCGGCCTTCTGACGCCTCAGAGCCCGGATCTCCGTCCTTTGAGACTGTTCCGGACGTCGGCGCCAGAGTGGAGCTGATTAATGGGACCATGCCGTCTGGGTAGCTACGTAAGTAATAGAAGTAATGTGTAACTCGAGACCTTGATTGACAGACCACAATTTAGACAAATCTTATTTAAGCAGTATAACAGCGTGGACAGTGATCGATGTACCTCTTCGTCTTTGATGGAAAATTACAGCTGTTCAAGTGACTCATTCCTGAGGCGAAATATTTAAATTCGCTCGCCGGTATGTGAGTCGTCCGACGTCATGATCCGTACTCCCACAAACACGACACATGATAAAACACCAAGAACCAAACTCGCACAACAACCTGATAAGCCCATTCTCAATCCACGGGCAAGCAAAATGCCGTACTTATCGAAAGGCAAGAGGAATAAGGGACGTAAGAAAATGATTTGTTCTCAGCAGTTTCTAGATGACGAGCACCGCGGAGATGCAGTTCCCCCTCTCGAACAGGCATCCGACGATGCCTTGCCAGGTTGGCTGATCCGAAGACACCAGAACCAAAACTCACGACTCTATTCGCTACCCGACGAGCTGATCTTGGAGATCATTGACTGCATGGACGCTGTTGACTTTTGGTTCTTTCGCCAAGTCTCTTACCGCCTCGCCAACGTGTGTGCAGGCTTGCATCTCTACAGTAACCCTCAGAACGAAGAAGATCGTCCAAAGCTTTGTTCCAAGCGAGAAAGCGATAACTGGATAAGACAATGCTACCAAAGATACATAATGTTGTATCCCGCTCTTGTCGACAGGAACTGCAGGCACAGATTCTGCAGTTGTGCCACGGTCAGCACACGAACGCAGACGCAACTCGACGCAATCACAAGAAAGTTCTTTGAAACGGATTTCATTACGTTATGGCATAAACAGTTCAATACGGCACTTGAACCAGTCAGGTATCTAGGGGTAACACTGATGGCGCAATATCCGTTCCGCAAAGAGGTCAGAAAGCAGCGTATAGCCAGTCTTCTCTGTTCGGAGTGTATTTCGACAAAGAACCAAAGATATCGTTACGACTCGCCCGTGGACGCTCTGTGGAATCAAGAATGCAGAAAATGCGCGGATGGTCAAGATCCATTGGATTGCTGTTCCCACTACAGCAGTGATGAGACTAAACGTTTGACGTATGCTTATAGCACAAGCAGAGAGCGTTCATACTCTTCCTATTCAGGTCCACTCCAACTTTGCGCTCACAAGACCTTCACATGGCCCGATATGCACGACAAATTGGTCGATATTGGCACCATTTCAAACGCTAAAGAATGCGCACAAGACAAGTCTCCATTCGTGGAGTGCACCGACTGCTTCGCGGAAATCATGGGCCACGACAAAGGCATCAAGCAACCTGCGGTTCGCATGATGAAGGACCGAGCGCACTGCTACCTCTTGTTGGAATGGTGCTTGCCGATGTTCAAGCTGCGCGCTGGTGTCCCCATCACCCTAAGCTTTCTCAAAAAGACCTTCGACAGGGTTGGGGAGAAGTATGAGGCGCTACTGTGCCCACACATCACGTTCTTCGAGGAGGTGCTTCGAGGTTCACTGCTGAAGAGCTTTTGGAACACCGACGAAGTTGATCCTGGTGTTCGATTTTGTAATTGCAAATGCAATTTTTGCGGCTTCAAGTATTTATTAAAAAGACATGGCGATCGAGTCTACTTAGAAGGAAACTACACCATCTGGTACCAGCAGTATTGGACGGACGAGATTACACCCGAAATAGGAGGCAAGCGTGCAGGGCTTTTGGAAGACCCTACCCCACATGCAAGGCTTTGCAGGTCCCAAGGTATCTCCTGGTGCCAGACCAAAGGATGTTTCAATGCGAAGAGGTAGTGAGGCACGACGAAAGATATCGGCACTGCTTTATGAGTGTCTCTGACGCTCGGAAGCAGCCGTGGTTTCTTCTAACCTTTTTTCAAAAGTGCAACAGGAATAGCAGATGCTTCTAGCTACCCGGGCGAACATAGCATGTCCCGGTCAGTTCAAATCCATCTGTTCTATTACACACGGGCTTTCGTTTTATTTTGTTCTTTTCTCAACTCCTACTTTTGTCACTGTTATCATTTCCGCCATCATCGTTCTTGTTGCCATCCATACCACCGTCTGCTTGAATTGCAAAAGTCTACCTTCAAGTTCCATGCTGTCCTGGACAAAATTCTCAACGTAACATTCCAAAGTAATGTGCCCAAAACATATGCCTCAGTGGCTCCTGAAACTGTTAGGAGATTTCAACGATTCTCCTGGAAGTGCACTGCCTACCATCCCTCCGGCTGACCCGCCATTTAGGAACGACCCAAGTCTGTGTGTTCTTGGCACGAACATGACCCCATCTCTCGATTTTTGAGAACCTTTGACTCGTACGCTTCTCTTGAATATCCACATAAAATAGTTCTTGAACCAAGTGCTGTTCTTGTTGTCTCGTGCATGTCGCTAAAGCATTCGTAGCCACAGACTCAGCCACGGAGATTCTGTCTGCCCAGTCTGTAATACCAACCCCACAGATGTCTTCCAACTTTAGAACCGCTTGTGTTTAGGTGGACGCGGCTATATCCGCTGTGGTCTGCTGGAATCCTTTCCGGCAGCGAGTTTAATACCGAATTTGACGACATCATGAACTTGGCTTCTGGGCGGTAACGCAGCACTATCGACAAAATGCCGAATGCTTCCATAGTGGGCTTCATGATTCCTATAAGTTCAAGGACAAGCACTCTGCGGTACTCGATCTAAAGTTTTATTCATCATCAGCTGACGGTGCTTCATCAAAAGTCTTTCCATATTTTCCCCCAGCTTTATTGTCAATCGCAGACCTCTTGGCCATTATCATGGTTCTTTCTAAAATCTTCGCTTTGTTCTGGGTCATGGTCTTCGCGGGCTGTGTTGCCGCCGCACCCCTGGACCCTCGCCAGTTTTCCGCACGTATTACACTGGGTTATAGAACTGTTAGCAAGGTGTGTTTTCAGGCTGGAGACTTAATCAGTGAGTTTAACTTAGCAACGGACCATTTTTCAAGGAGCAAGTCAAGCAGTATAATGCCAAGGGGAGAATCACCTTCGACCCTGCAAAGGCTCAAGGAAACCAGATTGGCGTCGGCGTCTACACCACACCTGGCCCGGCCGAATGGAAGGGGAACCCTGGAGACTGGTCAGTAAGCCCACATGAATTATACTTCTGCCCTCATGTCCCCAAGGACCCCTCCTGACCATCTTATCATGTGCAGGTACTGCCACATTACGGCCCGCAAGTCAACTGTGGATTCAATCCCGAAGGTTTGGGTTCCCAAGCAGTACTGGTGGAACATCCAAGGGATGTATACATGGGCGGATAAGACATTCTCCAAGAAGACCAAGAACTTCGACTTTGATGATGTCTTACGCCTTTCGCAAATCGGAAACTACGAGCCGACCAAGCAGCTTCTGATCCCGACATACCTGCTCTCCGGCAAGGGTATGGACTTGAAAGTCACCTGCAAGGCCAACTGGAAGGACCTCCCCTCCAACAAGCCAGTGGACTACTCCAAATGGCCCAAGGTTCTTGGAATCCCTCAGTAAGTTGCAGTACTAGATTATGCTTTTAGTGTAGGCTTCAAGCTATCTATAGATATCTATATAGGTATATACCTATATAGTCTATAGGTATAGAGGGGTACCTAGGTAAGTACTAAGTAGGTATAAATAATAAGTAAGGCCTTCTTATTTAAGTATTAAGTATATAAGTAGGGTAGAGACTATAATTTAGGTTCTAAGTAATAGTCTATTTTATAAATATAATATACTAAGAGAGGTTTAGAAAAGAGTTAAAATCTAAATTAAAATATTAAAACTATATAAGAAATAAATTATATTATTATAGTATATTACTAATTTCTAATAATAGGAAATTACTATAATCTATTTCCTCTATAATCCTTTAGCTACTTAATTACCCTCTTATTCTCTAACTACTTCTCTAACTTAATAATAATAAGGAGCTTCTAAAAGCCTATAAACCTTATTATAATACTTATAAGCTAAATAATAATATCTAAGAAGCTTAATTCAGCTTATCTATAAAGTTTAAAACTTAGCTAAATAGTTTAGTAAGTTCTATATCTAAAAACTTTAATTCTACTAAATCTTAAATATTATTATTATTACCTAAGATATTAATAATATTTTAAGTATACTTAATAATAAATCTATAAATAATAAAATAGGAATCCTTAATATTAAGAACCTTATATTAGAATATTTAATAGATTAATACGTTTTAGTCTTTATCTAGTTTATAGAGTATAAAGTCCTCTAAAATAAAAAGCTCTAGATAGGAGAATAAAAGCTAATCCTAATATTTATTATAAATTATAAGAAAAAGTTAATAAAAAATTATCTTAGGTTTTATATTAAAGTATATATAATAATAAATATATTAGCTAAAGCTAAATACCTATTTAAGGAGGATAGAACTTAAAATAATATAAAGATAGTTATAAGCTATATTATAAAGACTATAATACTTTATCTCCTATTCTAACGTTTTCTAGAAGTCCTAAATTAATTACTTAATAGAATAACTTTATATAGATTTAGTTATACTTTTAGAAAGAAAGGTAGCATAATACTTATACTTCTTTAAGAAATCACAAATAATATTATTTACTTTCTAGGATAAAGTATCTATTTACTTCTAAAGAACTATATTAATATAATAATTATAAAAGGATTATTATATTAATTATTATAATAAATTATTATAAATATAATTATTATAATAATATTAGAAATATAATAATATACCTATTTCTTAAAGCTTTAAAGCATTAAAGCTGTTAGATTATAGATAGATCTATAAACTTTATCTAAATTAGTCTTAGAATTCTATAGAACCTCCTTATAGTATTTCTTAGTATAGATTTAAGTAAACTCTACTCTAGCTATATCTTTTAATAAGCTAAAATAAGTTTTATAAATACTATAAAATCTTAGATTATTATTTACTAAATTTAGTACTAATATAGGAGAGAGGAATAGAGAGGATATATAAAGAAACTACTACTACTCTTATAGTAATTAGTACTTCTTTAGTTTTACTATTACTACTTATACTACTTCTAAAAGAGCTAACACCTAAAGTGAATTCTTATTATTATTAAGCTTCTTAATAGCTTCTAAGTATTTTATTAAATAATTATTATAGATCTTTATAAAAGTAATTATATAAGTAATATTAATAGATTAATCTTAACTTAAAATATATATAATAGCAAAAAAGTATATAGAGATATTAAGAATAACCTAAATTTAGCGCTATTTAGGATTATTTAGCCTAAATAGGTAATTATTAATATGATTTATAAACTAAGCTTAGATTAAAGCTTAAAGTTTAAGGGTGTAGACTAATATTAATATAATTAAGTTCTAGTATATCTTTACGTTAATAATTAGATATTTAGAGCACTTTTTAAGGTCCTTATCTTCACTATTCTTCTAAAGATCTAAGAACTATATAGATTATATTAAACTAACTTTAATCTTAAGCATAAAGTAGTAAATCTAAAAAAGGATAAATAATAATAAAGGTAGAAAGTAAGAAATAAAGTAGCTTACTTTAGTAATTACTACTATAAGTATTAAAATACCTCTTACTCTAATTTAGCTTTCTAAATCTAATATCCTATCTAGATATTAATTAGTAGAAGTCTTATCATCTAATTAATCTTTAAGATTATTATTCTATAAAATAGAAGTAGCCTACTATCTTATTAAGGTCTATTATAGTAGCATAATATCCTTAATAACTTATTTATTATTAATATATAATATATATTATATAAGATCGCCTATTATAAACATATAGGCAACTTTAAGGTAGTTATATAGTTCCTAAACTATAAAGTTAATAATATAAATAAGGCATTAAATATAAATAACTATTAGTAGTACTTTATTAAACATAGACCTATAAAACTTAGATAAAATCTTAGGTTTAAAATTAGAAGCGTTATCTATAGAAATATAGTTAAATTTAAGTGTATTCTTTATTAAGAGCTTCTAAAGAGTATTAATAATTACACTAGCTATATTCTCTATAGTATAGTTTTTTATAATACTAAATATATTAAAAAGAATATAATAATATTTCTAATCCTTATCTATAAAGTAAGCTATAATACTAAGTAATATATACTTCTAACCTAATATTATCTATATATTAATTATCAGAGATACTTTTAAACCAAAAATAATCTTATTAAGAACCTTTATCTAAACAGCTAAAGCCTCAGCTTTAAAATTCTTAGCTATTATTATAGAGGATAGTAATATTTATCCTTAATTTATAAAGCTAATAAAAAACTTAAAGGTTAACTTTAAAATAAAATTAAAAGATATATTACTATCAATAAGATAATAGAGAAATGCTTTATTTAATTAAGTAGATTTATCTCCTTTTCTAATAAACTAAACAGCAAAGTATAGTTATTATAATAATTATTATAATAATTATTATAATAATTATTATAATAGTTAATATAAATAACTTAGATAGTTTTTATAGTTTATAAATAAATTATCTCTCTATTATATTATAATCTAGAAGATGCTAGAGCACTATACTACACCTTAATATATACTAGCTTACTATAATAGTTATTTATTAAGTTAGTCTTAAAACTAGCTATACTAAGATAAATAAAGAGAGTATTATATATATTATAGATAAGATAGGGAATACTATATTAGACTTTTACCCCCTTATAAAAGTTAGCCTAAATATTTACTTATTTATAACCTTTACTAAAAATCTTATCTGCTTTCTTTAGGTATACATTAAGGCTAAATAAAGACTAAAAGCTCTTAATACTATCTTCTACCTTCTGCTTATAATACTAAGTTTAATACTACTATTTAATAAAAGTAGTATCTATAGCAAATAGAATAATTAAGCTACTATAAATAAGCTTATATTTAGGGGGGAGGTCTATAAAGAAAAGAGAGGATATATCCTTAAGAAAGTTATCTATAGTATATAAGTTTATAGTATATTTTGCTTATATAGATAAAATAGTGAAAAGAAGGAGAAACTAAATTATAAGAAATTATTATAATAGATTATTATAAATATAGGGTATTATAATATTTAGTAATAGGTTTAAGTAATTATTAGTTTATTTATATATATAACTAAGCTGTAGGTATTTATTATAGTGATAGCAGAATATATATTTTCTTAATTCTCTAGTAAGTCTTAAAAATAATAATACTACCTTAACTACTAGAGAGTATCCTATTAACACCAGCTCTATTAAGTTAGCGTTTAAGAGATAGTAAGATTTCTAAAACCCCTATATATCTATAAGTAGAGTTATAGCAGTAATCCCCTAGCCTAAATACAGTAGAAGAGGTTATTAGTAAACCTAAATTACTACCCCTCCTAATAATAAAAACTACTATAAAAAGTAGGAATAATACGCCACTATAGCTAGCAAAGAAAGATATAAAGAAGAAGCCTATAAATAGTACTTTAGTTCCACTAAGAAAATAAAAAGCATAGAAGGCACTATAAAAAGATATTATTATTAATAAAAAGCAGTTATACTAATATTATCTAAGCAGTAAGTTTCAAAAAACCTATAAAAAGAAGGTATATTAACAAAAGTAGTATAAGCACTTCAGGAAATTAAAAAATAATAAAAGATAATAAATAACACTATATAGAAGCAATTATTTATAAGGCTTATAAGAGAGATATTATAATCTATATATCTAGATCTATAATTCTAATTAGAAGTAATAAGGGTATTATAGATAGTTACTAAATTATATCTTATTACTATATTTAAAAATATATACTAATCTCTAGATATAAAAGTTTCTACTAATATAAATAGGTGTAAATCTCTATACTATTTATATAAAACACATCACACTTCAAAAGAAAGATATAGATTTAGTTAAGTAGCTCACTAAACATATAGGTTCCTAGGAGACTTAGATATAGACTTAAGAGTTAAAGGTTTACACTTATTATCTTAATACATATAATTATAATATATAATTATAGTAGATAATTTTTATGGATTTCTACGTTAAGGATTATAATAGATTATTATAATAGATTATTATAATAGATTATTATAATAGATTATTATAATAGATTATTATACTAGCTGTTTATAATAAACTCTAATAGTATGTTATTATAAATAAAAGAATCTTAAGTATACTTAAACTCTATTATTTAATTCTAAGAAACCTAATTCCCTAACACTATAAACTAAATCTATTTTATTATATAATAAAGTTCACTTAGATATCTCTATATCCTCTTATTATAGATCCCTCTCCTCTTTATCTCTATTATTAACCTCACCTATAAACTTAATATCCTTTCTACCTAGAGAGAGGAAATTAAAAGTTATAAACTTATTAAATATATTAGTATTAAACTTTACCTATATATTTAGGTATATATCTTAAATAACTAGTATCTCTATTTAGATTAGAATTAAAGCTAGCTTCTTTCTATAATATCACTAAACTATATTAAATATCTTCACACTCTTAGCTAAGAT